TCACTCAAAGGGTCCAATATTGTTTCATCTGATGAAGGATTTCAGTTACTTGATCAAATTGAGCATGTGACCTATAAGCCTTTAGAATAATGGATAATAAATTAGCAAAGTCCTAAGTGGCCGACCTGGGAATATCTGCTACTGGTTTTTTCCAGAAATGAACTAGCTTGCTAATGGAGCAGGTTTGTAGGTAGCTCAGCTGATTCTGGTTGAAAGAACAATGATCTTGCAGTGTCCTGTTATAATGCAACTGCAAGTCTGTTAAGAAAATCTCTATGCCATTATTATATTTCTCTTTGTTATGACAGGCTACAAATAGTATGACTTGTATTCAATTTGCACATGACTTGTTTCAAGCAGAGACGGTTAAAATATATGCTTTATCATTTCAAGCATGTTAATTCATTTCCTCCCACCAATGAATGAAACTTTGAAGAAAAATAAGTTGTCACTGATTCATATGAAAGCCTGATACAGTTCCAGGGATAAAATTAGGGTATAGACTCATTATCATCTCTAATACATTAAAAATGGGAATGGTGGATCTCCTTCCAAGCCTAAAATCTACTTATACATAGGGCCAAATGGCTTGGAATTAAGAAAGCAGGATTTTTTGCTATATGATATAAAGATTCAAACAGTGTTAGTTCAAACAGAGGTACCATCAGAATTGTGAGCACAAAATTCAACTTCCGTGAAGGATCCCTCTAACTTCTAGGAAAGGCTTACACTTAACACTTTAAAGAATCTGCCATCTATCATTCTAGAGAAAGAGAAAGTGATTGTGTGGAAGAGATGGCTACCAAGAGTATAAAATAGATTGTTCAGATTAGAACAAGTAACTGAGAACTAGATTTTGAGAACTAGTGGGAATGGCAGAAAGGTATACATTGCAGGAAAGAAGCACATAATATGAAAGCCCTAGAGAGGTCTTCATTTGAAAGCCTCTGCTACGGACTCACAAGTTCTACCTTTCCTGAAAGAAAAAAATGGGGCAGTTACTGTTGACTAGTTTTCAACATGGTTCCCATGAAGAATTATCTATTCCCAAAGTGTCTGATCTAGAAAAAAGCCTTTCAGGGATGATGAGACAACCTTTTATTTTATCCAATCAATTCACTAATTTGTTAAATTCAGAGAAGTAAAGAGAAAGTTAACATAATTTTGAAAGCATCTCTCCCACCTCAGTCCTCCCTGTGCAGAAAAGGCTAGAGCTTGACTCCTGCTGTTTGTTATTTAGTACACTGTATTAACATTACATTACTGCAAGCCAACTCATGAATGCTTTTTGCAGTGGTAAGAAAGGACAATGTACTGTGTACCAGAAACTAGGTTGATGAACTCCCAAGCACAAATACAGGCTGGG